CCCCCAAAACCCCAAAACCCCAAAACCCCGGATCAATAGAAGATTATTGAGAATTATAATAAATTATGTTCCTTAGCAACCAGCTGAATGAGAAGCTCTGGAAAACAATATTGATAAAACAATTAATCAGGTAATTAGAGAGGTTCATGCTTTAGGCATACGAGTTTTATAAGACAGCCCATGGTAATTATGGGAGAGCACCCTCACTTTTCCACCATTTTTAATCCTTCTGGAGATCTTCTCCCTTCCAAATCCATAACTGTACTTCTTAGGCTGGGCTATTGGCTAAAGAGGTAAAATAGGGTTATACCTGAGATGTGGGGGCTATCGAGCTATCTGCCAATAAGAGCTTAGATACATCATACTTGTTGTTCACAATAACCTGGTTGTTATTTGGTGCTGAAATGAAGTTACTCCCACTCTTCTGCTTCTTAATTTTTGTTTGACCTGTATGCTTTAAAGTTAAAAAGGAATATACTGAGCTGATGATGTTCTTCCCTGAGTTCCTCCTGATCCCTTTTAACTGGTTGTAGCTATCATTTATAGCATTAGAGCTTCTCCTTGCTTTTACAGAAGGAATCTCAGAAATATTCTCAGAGGTTTGCTCAGAGATGTCATAAAATCTTCCATCTTCCTTTTTAGCTTCTGATTTTAATTTCTTCAGTCTATCTTGGAATTGGAGTCCTTCTTTCTAAAATTTTAAGCCAAAGTTTTACAGCTATAGTTGCAGCATACTGAGCTCTTGACATTCTTTTTGTATTTCCAGCTATGACATTGGTAGGCCTAGATGATGCTATTTGCTGAGAATATGATTTCTGCCCTGCACCAACCCCTGTTCGAAGAGTCACTCCTCTCTTTGGTACAAGAACATTGTTAGGATGAGACCCTGAATTAAATTCAATATGATTCTCCATCATCGAAGGAGATTTGGCCTTTTCGAATTTATAATTCTGTGGAGGCTCAGATATATTTTCCTTTATACTACTAATAGAGGCTTTTTCTCTTCTCAGATTCTCAGAGTACCCTGTGCCATTGGGCTTATAGAATGAACCCTTTGTATCCATCTGGTTATGGTTGCTCTCAGAAATATTAAACTCTACTCCTTGAACTTTTTGAGGCAACTTATTTCCATTGACCTTGAAGTCTTTCTGTAACGTTAAGCATGGCTAAAGGCATACGTTGTTCGAGGCAAGTATATTACCATTGCTATCATAAGCAATTATTTTCCTATAAAATATTGTTACTTTTGTTGATTTTGGAGCATAAGCTGTGCTGCCAATGAACTCCATCAGAGAAATTTAGTTTCATGAAGCAGAAAGGATTTAGAGGAGTGCAAAAGTCATTTCCTACCCTTTGTATTTCGGATTCACATAATTCTTCAGTTTACTGTTATTTTGGCTGATAATGTTGTGAGTATTCTGATTAGCTTTTATCTTCATTTGCTCTTCCGCCTTCCTGTCTCTCATTCTCTGTATCTTCTGTTCTTCAGGATCCTCATCATCAATACCAGTGTACCCTTGAAGAGGCACTGCTCTAAACTCCCCAGTGGCCATTATAAGAATATATATTATTCAAATATAAACGTAAAATTTGGGGTTTTGGGGTTTTGGGGTTTTGGGGTTTTGGGG